TGGATTGGGAGTATCCTGTTTGCTGGCAGGTGAGCGCAATTTTTTTTTAATTTACATTTTGTCAAGTAAGAACGTGGTCGCTGTAACTCGCAGTTGGTAAAAGCTATACTCCTGATTCTTGCATGAGTTGATAGAGGATACTTTTCTTCTTGATGCTTTGCGAAGAAAAGCTCAGTTGTCGTTAAAGTGTTGCCACAGCAAAGCATAAGCGTCGCATGCGTGCCGCGTACGCGTCGGGCTTCGAAGCTGTATTACGTGTTTACATACAATCTGAATGCGGGCAAAATTTTGGAAATCTGTAAAAAGGCCTTGTTACTATCTGCACACTTGTGGTTTATAAAAAAACAAATAAAGACTGGATCCTGCAGGTGGATAATGATCCGAAACATCGGAGCAGACTCTGTACTGAGTGGAAGGAGCAATCTGCCATCAATCAATTGGATTGGCCGTTACAGTCGCCCGATGCAAATCCAATCGAAAATGTTTGGGCATATATTAAGCATAAGCTTCGTGAAAGACAAATATTCAGTTTAAAGCAATTATCTTGAGAGATTCGTTGGAGATATGGAGATCTTTGCCGCACGAATGGTGCAAAATATGCCTCGGAAATATTAGTCAATTATCGACGCCGATGGTGACTAGACACATTATTAATGTAATTGCATCTTAGCTCTAATCAAATAGAATGTATCTATGCATTTCAAAATTTTGCTAACTCAATTTTTCTATAAATTAGGCCGACAACGCTCTTACTTGACAGACTGTAATAATATTAATACAAGCGTTAGAGTTTTTATTCATCATCGTCCTTTTTTTTGTGTTTTTTTTTCTTTATTTCATCTCTCTGGAAATATTTTGAATAATATTTTAAGAATAAATATAAAATTTAGATAGTATTTTATATCTTTATTTGAAACTCTGTTTTTCGTACTTTTTGTATATAATCTTGCAAATTATTTATAATTATTTTCAATTATTAACAATTTTTTTCAAATTGCAACAAGGGTCCAGATTCGGATAAAGAGAACTTTGCAGCTATATTGCTGGAATTAAGCGCTGAATTCAAGCCAATAGAATTGCTTCTCTCGGCAGCGGTCTCGCCGAACATTCTGGTGATTGACAAGGGCTACGACGTCCCGGCGTTGGCCAAGTATTTGGACTGGATCGCCGTCATGGCGTATGACTATCACGGGCAATGGGAAAAACGTACTGGTCATGTTGCGCCTTTATATCATCATCCGGACGATGAGTTCTACTACTTGAACGCTAACTATTCGATCAACTATTGGATCTCGAAGGGTGCACCACCCAGGAGCATTGTTATGGGCATGCCGTTGTACGGACACTCCTTCTCAATCCACAATCCCAGAGCTGGAACTGGTCTCAATTCTCCGGCCAGCGCCGGGAACGCCGGAGAGTTCACCGGAATTGCCGGTTTTTTGTCTTACTACGAAATCTGCGATCGAGTATGCAATCGTGGATGGACGGTTGTGCAGGATCCGGAAAGTAGAATGGGTCCGTACGCTTACAAGGGCAGCCAATGGGTTAGTTTTGACGACTCGGAGATGATCAGGCGGAAGGCGCAGTTCGTGCGCGATATGGGTTTGAGCGGTGGTATGGTATGGGCTCTGGATTTGGACGATTTCCACGGACGATGCGATAACGGACCACATCCACTGATGCACATGATTCAGCGGGTGCTGGCGGAACCGCCGAAGGAGCACGACAGGCATCTGAAGCCCGTAGAATCGAAGTTA